CGGCGGCGGCGGCGAGCGACGGGGCGGCGGCGGCGGTGGTGGCAAGCGACGGGTGGGTGGTGGTGGCGGTAGTGGTGGTGGCGTTCGTGTCGTGCTTTTTGTTGGCGGCGGAAAGGATGAGGGAGGTCCGGCCCCCCCTGGCGCGATCTTAGAGTCTGAAGAGGATGGTTCGGATAGCGTAAAGTTGCCGACTGGGCAGGTGTTGCAACATTCGAACCAACCCGCCGCATCCGCCTCATTCACAGAGAAGCGACAACCCGCGTTTGAGCCGGGCAAACCCGCACGGCAAAAGTCCGCCCACTCCGCACAGCCCTTGCGGACCTCGTAGCAGACCTGCAGATGGCGGTTTCGAGTGGCGTCTCGTGCTCTCTAGTGTGCTCAATAACTACTTGCGGCTGCGGATGGTTATTGCTTGCGTGCTTCGACATGCGTGTGCATGAGTGCGTTTCTGCATGTGTTTATGTATGTGTGTGTGTGCGTGTGTCTCTATGTGTAAGCGCACGTGTTTTAAGTCGATGCTAGCAGGAAACGTGCTGGTGGGGGTCACGTCGTCGCCATGGGAACCCCCTTCGCCTTACTCTCCCCCGGTAGCTACCACTAGCCATGATTAGCCGCGACAAACACAAACACATGGGGACCTCCAACCCCCGAGCAGCTTCAACGTCCTTGCCCTGTTACTGACTAGATAGCAGAAGCACTAGATAACGAATAGCCAGTTAATAAAACTACTCCCGTCCAGGTGCACCCACCTCAAGGTTCTCCAGATCGATCCCCAATGAGGTCATATCAATAATGGACAGACCCACATCAGATGGGCTGCCATCAGTGTACTGAAGCGGATAGTCCACGACCGGCCGTACCTGCAGTACGACAGAAGCGCAATACATACAGGGCGCAGGAAGATACAATGCGTAAGCTGATGATACTGGAGTACTGGCGCGCATATGCCGGTCTTGCAGTATGGCAGCTGTTGGCATGATGTGCATGAGGGCGTTGCGGGGTCGTGTGGGTGGTGTGACGGCAAGTGAGAAGAAGGCCTGCCCCTTGGGTACCCCGTCGAGGTTGAAAACCTGTCCCGGCAAAACGTTGCTGCCGTCGGCCCGTTGCCTCCATGGCCGCCTTGCTACGTCAAAACAGATACATATATGCATACATATATGCACACATACATACATACACCAAATACATATGTGCACCAAATGCACATAAACACACAGACACAGACACACACACTCGGGCGAGCTCCGCCATGCTTCTGCTGGTGCTGGAGGTAATGGCGCTGCGGGTGTAGTGCGTCGAAGCAATGTTTATGCGGCACGGCTGCCTTCTTCCGCAGGGAATGCATGTGCGCAAACTGAAACACTTCTTTGATCATCCTTTAACGGAGCCTTCGGAAGCCACGTGTCGTGGCAGCATGCCGTACCTGTCTACCCCCCACAAACACCCTCAAAATGCTGGACACGTTGCACCTGCCGGTGGCCGCTGCGGAGGCGACGAAGGCGGCAGGAGGAGGAGAGGGGGGGTTGTTTACGGTTTCCCGTTAAAGCACAGAATTAGTTGCTGCTCGTGCAAGGCAGGCCAAGGCACTGCTGGGCAGCATGTTCTCAAACTGTGATGCTAGTAAAGTATACGGATATACGGACATACATATGGACATACGGTCATACGGACATACAGGGGTGTTGAACCACCTTTCCTGTGACGTGCACATACAGCAAGACAAGGAATGCCCCATGCCCCAGTCCCTACACCCTAGGCTTCTGCATCGTTTACTAATACTGCACCATCATCACTTCCTTAGCCACTGTGGCTCATCCAACCTACCTGTAGCGTACCGTATGTACTGCATCATCTGCCCGACCGTACACACTACCAGTAGTATGACCCCGTACACCATTGTGCGCGGCGGACACCCCCCTCAACCTGAACCCAGTATGCACCCAGGCTCACCCACGCTGATGGAGAGCGCGTCAATGCCGCTGGAGAGCAGGTCGCAGCAGCTGCTAGCCTGGCGGGCATCAGGCCATCACGGGAGGCGCTGAGACACGCGCATATGCAAGCTACTCGCTGAGTGCCATGCTGTCTGATGTAGCCATGAGCATCTAGAAATAAAAATATACACGTGCCCTGTAAGGGCCTCAGTTCTCCCTGGCCTACCCTATCATGACTGGCACACACATAGCATGGTTTATGTGATCAAGGGATGGGATGGTCCACCTCGCGATCTGTCGGAACCTGTTATCCGTCACCGTCACCAGGCAGCGGGCCCCTACGTGAATGACGATATGGAAAAGGAAGCTACGGGCGCCTGTGGCGCCGCCTTCAGCCGTGCTCTTGTGCGGGCGTAGTTAGCAAGCAGGGCAGTCTGGCCACACACGGAGAGGCATAACACTAGGGATGTTCGATTTTGCATTGGCGGGTGCTGCAATAGCGGCGGCACAGCAGAGTTGTGTTCGTTGCTTCCCCAGCCCCTGTTGTGCCTATAGCAATTCCAAGCAAAAAAGGATCCACTTTGTCGCTCCTTCCTTCCTTCCGTCAAGCATGGAAGCTCATTAACCTCGGGACGTTGAGCTCCTGCCATTCAGGCTAGCCAATGACCCGTAGCAAGTCAGCACTTACCTCACAGCCGCGTCTCCGAAGCTGCACGCAAAATGTGTTGGAGGCAAAGATGCGGACGGTCCTCGTGATCCCCTGAGCAAATGCACGACGTATGCAAACACAGCACAGCGTCCCAGCAGGCCAAGTGAAACGTACGGCGGTACGGCACGTGTAGCATGCATATTCTGTACCACAAAAGTTGAGGGCGGCCACTGCGTAGCTAGCTATCTACCTTTTTTTCTATCCTGAAGTGCCTAAATCGTGAAGGCTACAGTCGCTGGCCCGCCGAACGGCAGGGGCCTCATCGACCCGAAATGCCCAAGCATTGAACGACACAGGTTTGCTAGCCGAAAGGTCCCAACCCTCTGGCCACCAAGCACTGCAACGGTCCTCGCTTCTTCTCATCACTAACTAAACCCAAGCCAACCCAGCTCTATCCGCGCCACAATCTGTTCCGTCACCTTCACCATTCCCTCCATCATTCACCACTCCATTGCACATCCCAAGACTTGGACCGCAGGCGGACTATTCCATCCTAGCCACCATGTTCCCTGCCCCAGCCAGGCACACTGGAGAGAGGCCGGTCTAACCATGCCGCATGTATCCTATCCGGAAACACATACATACATACATACATACATACACACATGCATCTTGCCATCTACCCACCAGCAGCTCCCAAGGACTCTGTCCACATTCCTTGTTGCAGAGGTCCTGGCACGGGAACGCGTCTTCAAATTGCGTCATCAATTGTCGTGCAAACCAGGGCCTGCTGAGCGTTGGACCGCGTTGTCAAGAACAGGGATTGATTGATTAAGGGGACGAAAGGCGGCCGAGGCCCATCAGAGCAGGAGCAGTGGGATCACATACGCTGTATAATGAAAGTACCAGAGCCCATAGCGCCCCAACCCTGTTGAATGCATTCCGGTCAAGCTACTGGCCACCCGGGGATTAAGAAAATACTTCTCGTCCAAACTGCGCTGACCCACACAGTGTTTGGGCGGCCAAAGTGTTGTATCACGTCTTTTTCAGAAAAGAACCGATCCGCGGATGTCAGATCCCGTGATACCCAGGATACTACAAGGAGCCCCTTTGAGCAGTGCCGCATACGCGCACATACACATACGGCAGCGGCAGAAATCCATAAGAATTCCATTTCATAATTCCGTACGATTGATTGTGCGCTTTGGCGTGGGTCGGGTTCCTTACCCGCCTCGTTGTTGTTGTTGTTGTTGTTGTTGTCGGCCTGGGCCTCCGTTTAGCAACTCTTCACCCAAGGAATTCTGCGACTGCCAGCGCGCCTGTCGACCTGCAGGGAGCGCACCAGCGTCCAGGTCAAAAAGGAAGTTCAGGTTGCTGGTGCGGTAACAATGCCCAGCCGTAGTTTGTGGCAGGAAAAGGAAGACTGCCCCGCGTGGACCACCAGGATATCGAGATGCGGAATCCTTCACTGACAGCGCAAAAAGGGATTTACGATTCAACAAGCAAGGGCATTTGAGCAGCTTGGAGATGCGCACGCAGCGAAGCGGGCCCACAGGTGGGTGGGGAGGTTGGGATGACGCCCGCGTACATGTATATGCGTGCACACTACTCTACGTGAGCGGTCCGCACCAGTCAGCGTTGCCGCCTCGACCCCGCCAAGCTGCATCCAAGCCTTGGGTTCGAGTAGGCACATCATCATCACCACCACCAGCAGTGACCGCACGGCGACAGAGCTGCCGCTGTGGCGCTGTTGTCCATGGTTTCGCCGCCGCTGATTTACACAGGTATCGCTGCTGGGGAGCAGCCCGAGTGAGAGGACGGGGCCCCAGTTCATGAAGGGGCCCCTTGGCCACATATGAACCCTTAAGCAGCCACCTCCTCGTGCCGACGTCGTCGCGCAGGCTAGCTGGTCGAGTTGCGTGGATGCGGAACGGAGGGCTCCTTGCCTTCGTCAATCACGTCTTATGAGGAAGCGATGGGTGTCAATGCACCGCAATAGGTAAAAAGTTTATTTTATTTCACAACCGTAACGCCACTATGTTCTATCAGGCCGGCCCGATGAAATCGGCTACTGCGCTCGAATGTTGATCTGCGGCCCAGGGGCAAGGATGACGGCCAGATAATCCGTTAGCTATGGTCAGGTTCTAGCCTACAGTCCTGTGCGTATATTCCCCCGCACCGTGCAGAGGGAAACCAAGGCGATAAGCGGCAAGTTCGCAAAAGGAAAGATCCACTGACGGATAATGGCTGAAGTTATACTAACAGCAGTTATGATGTACTTATTATTTATGCCTAAAATGCATTATGCTTTGGCAGTTGTAACCATCCTGCAAAATCGCACTAGCTGTCTGGATTAAACGAACGGAAGAGAGGATACGCTGTAAGGAAAGAACTCAGATCGACCATAATTTTTTGTCTACGCGGCTTGGTGGAGAGCTATGAAAAAGGCGACCTCCAGGTACGGTACGCACCAAATTTGCAGCAAGCCCACAGGAGACGGGGCAGGAAGCTGACCGCTAAGACTATGATCGTTCTTAAAAATGTTTTTTGAAGAAAACTGTAAAGTTACAGGTCCGTATACCAGAAAATCTGGAGCTAATCGCCCACAAGTTGAGTAATAAGCACACTTTGGCATACAGTGTATTTACTCAGAGATAAGTGTTATTTTATTTAAACATTTGTTTTGAGCGTTTATCTGCAATAAGCGATGCATGCCTGGCCCACTCGGTAGCTCAGTGCCCTTCCTTCCTCTTTGTGGTGGGCGGTATCATGTTCGGCTCTAGAGCATCCGGTGCAGACTGGTGAATATCACGAAATTAATCACAAAAATTTGCGAGGATTTTTGTGACCCCTGTTTAAACTCTAGGAGCCTGCGTCGGAGCTTGGAGCGGATAACAAGATCCCATGCGGTATTCACGTCTTACAGTTGTTGATAAATAAAGTGATAATGAGAACGAGAATGAAGATGATCGTTCAGTATTACTATCACTATCTTTACGATAACGTTGGTAATAGCCTTTCCGTCATCGCAAGGCCCAAACGAGCCAGAAGGCCAATGGATAAAGAACATGTCGGGAGGAGAATCATGAAAAGAAACTGATAACGGATAGATCATTAGCCAACCTAATGCGGACAAAAAACTTAGGAAACAACAGGACCAGTGAATGTATCGAAGGTCCCTAACCTCGCTTCCAAAGAAACCCAACTGTAGCTCTTCGACTTCCAGACTCATGCGTAATTCATTATGAGGCTATTCCGGTCTTAAATGGTGTTAAACACAGCAAAGCACCGGAACCCCCCGTGCTGTCACCATTACTTCTGTCACCATTCCCTGGTATATGAGTGTCGCTCACTTTCCAACAAATGGCTATGTTACGATAGGTCATAACGTTCCCGTTGCCGTTGCTACCGACCCACGGTACCAGTTATCTGGTATCTTCCTGTGCCCCCATGCCAAGCATTCGTATGCATGTGGTGTTCAGCTGATATTCATCCTCCACCACGCCCGGGTCCTGGGTAGGGCAAAGGTGTCCCCTTCCGGGACCTCCTCCGGGAACGTGATTAAGTCGTTCTCTTCAATCGCCCAGCAGGACAGCCGAAAGCGGATAAGGTATAGGTGGTGCATATGCGGTCATGTAATATGTGCCGAGGGCCACCCATGCAGCGGTAAACGCACACCGGTATGCCGTAGAAGCGCGCCTGCTATTTTGGACCCCCGATAAGATTCGCCAACTTCAGCAACCGCTGCCATCGCATCCTTCATAGGATTTGAACCATAGTCCGATCCACCTGAGACCAGACAGAAAGCGCCTGCATGTGCTATACGCTGGGCACCTGAAAAGCGCATGCTCTTCGTCCCCGATGGCTTGAAGCTCGCAAAACTTGCAGATTCTCTGCTCACGTGCGATCGTGCGTACCCAACAAGTTTTGGGCAAATAATTTGGGCAGGCCCTGCCCAGGTGTGCTGCAAAGCAGCTAAACCTGTTGTTTTAGCATCTGCCTTGCCCATTGTGTGTGTGTGTGTGTGTTACATGGTTGGGGGTGCGTGACCCCATACCTGTAAGACTACCCATACGAGCCGAAGGCCCAAGGACAATACTACAACGCCTAAAAGCCACGGAGAAAAGGAAAAAAAACACCGCACATCAGCCCAGACTAGCGTCCAAAGGGGGTAATTGAGTTTCGGTGAGCCCACATACGTTCCAACATCCTCGCCAGACGTGTGGGTTCCCATTGCATGGCCTCCAACATACTCTGTTGATGATCGAATCCCTCTTCAGCACGAATATCATTATAGGCTGGGCATTCCAATAACACGTGTTTTTCATCCTCAATTCGGCTATTAGTACCACAACAGTGGCAAAACCGCTGCCCCCTGGGGACATGGTGCTTGCCCCTTCGTGCTCTGTTTGCCTCCAAAGCCCAGCAACATAAACGAAACTGCATTAGCTTACGATGTGCTAAACGAGGAATGAAAACCTTAGCATGTGTTGGCCACATGACGGCTGCGGCTCCCGAAAAGGGCAGCCCCATCCAGTGCTTATACTTCGCCATTTGCACTCCCGGTTGCTTCCCATCTGATGGGTACTCCTCTGGCAAGACAGTCAGACGCGTATGGTCCCAGCCACTCATCAAACGCTCTCTTAGTGCCGTTATTATCGCTCCTTCTGGTAGAGGTCTACTCAGCAACCAGTCAACACGCTCCTTTACCCCCACGACTTCTTGCGGTATTCCGCTCCAAATGTTGCACTCCAAGAAGGAAAACAGTCGTAACATTGAGATTCCCCAACCCTCCCATTCCGGGTTGGTCAGGGCATCGGTTATCTCCTGCCGTAAAACTGCATGAGCAATGGATCCCACTTGCTTTTGAAGGCGGTTCCAGAAACGGAGGATCTGCTTCACCGTGTAATATTGTAAGGGGAGTTCAGCCAGCTCCGCGTAAAACAGCCTGTGGGATGGCCGTGCCGTCCCCACTACCTGCCTCATGAATAAAATCTGCAGCTGGACTGCACTATCCTTCAAACAGGCTTCGAACATGCCCTCCGCAAGGTTGGCTTTATCCCGCCGCCTTCCCGCCCTGTCCATGACCTCTGCCAGCGCAAAAGGGCCCCACGCCTGGCAGCCATACAACAGAATTGCTCGGACTTGGGACCTTGGGACCTTGCCCATTGACCTTTGTGATAATAAATTTGTGTGGTGTCCTACAACCGAAAAATGCCTGCAAAGCAGCCGCAAACGTTTTTTTGTAAGCTACAAATAAACGACAATTGATTGGTGGCACATTTCACATCAAACACATAGGTTTTAACTTTCATCCGGCTTAATCCGAGATAGAGCTGACGCTGACGCTTTCAGCTGGCACGCGTCTTGGATCCCAAAAATTTGTGTTCAGTTTATACAATATTCGAGGCACGGCGCCCAAACAATTGTGTTTCGAAAAACTACCCCAAAAGACAACGCCTAAAACCTGTTGCGACTACAGTACACGTCGACAAGCGCACATCGCAACTCATGCACAATAACTCGACGTTGGCAAATCGAAGGAACGCCTTGTTCCACATCTTGTTCCTGAAACTGCGGGCGAGCAACATGTCAGCTTGCTCGCAGCACGGGGAAAAGGGCGGGGGGCTCCAGCCAGCCCCATGCCTTTAATTCCTGAGTTCCGCGGCGAAGTTTACTTAAACTTATTCGAATCACGCATTCAAAGCAAGCATTGTTAAAATTCTGCGGCACCGACTTTCACCGTGCAACGGCTTTTGCGGCGCAACAGTCGCCGTTGCAAGCTACTAACTGTATTGTTGCAAGGTATTGCCGACATCCCGTTCCTGTGTGTCACACCGCTAAGGCAGCCGAATGGTGCCAGATTAGGGACTGGACATACGGTACAAAATGCTGGGCATTCCATGAGCTGGCTTAAGACCTCAGTCCTGAGGACACGGGCCTCATCGATCGCGCCCAATTTTCACTAACATTCAGTTAACACCGCTGAATAGTACGCGAAACTTGCATTGATGTTGACGACAACAACTCTATGGAGTCAACGCGATGCGCATCCCGGCCGCGGCGAACTATAAAATTTGCGGTGCCATAATAATGACAGATGGATCCTATAGAGTGGAACTCCTGCCGGGCTAGTTTTGTTCCCTAATCCTAGGTCGCTCCAATTAAGTTTCATAACAGATTAAGGGAGAGTGCAAGCCTCTCAGTTGCGAAGGACATCGCGTAAATGGCATTGACGCTTCCATCCTGTCGTCCAGTGGTGGCTGGCCTTGGCTATACACACGCAAAAGGAAAAATTCCATCACGCATCTTCTTCCCCCTTCCTTGTTTACAATCGCTATTCAACCCGTTTCGTAATTCAGAATGGGAAATAAAATACGCCTCTGCCACATCGTAAACTCTGACTAATAATGAGCGCAATCGGGTTCGTACCCGCCTGCCATTTGTCCGGCAGGCCGCCACCCATTTGGAAATCCCAAAAAGCGCTTCCAGTGTCGAGAATATATCGTTCAATAAAGCGTTTTTGAATTTTCGTTTTGAAGCCGCAAGAACTTGCATGGGCCGAGCGAACGAAGAGGCTTACAGAACGTCCGTAATTTTAATTTCGCTCCAGCTGGAGCTGCAGCCGCCTTCCGATAGTGAAAGAACCAACAATTAATTTTACTGCTGGACCGCTCGTTGAACCTCGTCCGCTTCGTTACTGCCGTCAAACCACCGATTGCCAGTTGAAAGGGCGATAAAAGGAATCGTTAGGACGTCAAGGGAATTTTACCCATTTCACGAATATTCCAAAATTCAAAATTCGCAAACCAAATAAGCAGATGGGAAAACAGATACAGGACATACAGACGCATGTAGGAAGGCAAACAGCTGATGAAAAGCCCAAAGGCACCTGGCGCGGCGGCGAAACTCCGGCGGCTTTTTCCTCACCAACGCAGTACCCCCATGCGGGGCCGCGACACCGGAATATGACAATCGCTAACGCGTCTACTCAATCCAACCCTTCTAGGAGCACATGGCCACCCAACCAAGTATTTAGTCACCACCATGATCCTCGCAGAAGGCTATCCTGCGAGGATCACTGAAGAGAGCCTGGGCGCTATCTCATGCTATGTCATATGACCCTACGCCCGCCACCACCAGAGAGGCCGTAGTACAGCAACCTGTATTCGCACGCATCTGCACAGCGTCAACCCTTCCGCCGACCGCCATTCCTTCTCTGTAACCGTGAGACGTGTGTACCGTCTATGGTATGGTGCGGTGCGTCTTGGGTACTCGGGGACACCGACGTATGTGTGTGTGTGGGGGGGGGGATGAGTGTGTGGGTGGGTGGGTGGGTGGGTGGGTGGGTGGGTGTGAAGTTAGGGGACCGCCACCGTTACTGTCACGATTTTTGAACGCCGTTACATTTATATACTTAAAAGTCAGTGGTCATCAGCATCAGCGTCACCACCATCATCGCTGATTACGACTACCCCATCCACAGCACCGCAACTACTTATGCCGCCGCAGGGTGCTGCCGCCAGCGAAGCCCCCGCCGCCGGCACAGCCAAGGCCGCTCCAACGCCGAAGCTCGCCACTGCCGGGTGATCCTCAGGTCGCTTCGCCGCCACACCTTCACAGGCAATTGGCACCGCCGCCGCGGCCCTGCGTCCCCGAAGCAGCACCCGCCGTCCAGCCCTCGCACCCCCACCTCCGAGGTCGCCCGTTAGAGCTGCTACTGCTGCTGGTGCTGCCGCCGCCGCCGCCGCCACGTCAGCAACAGCAACAGCAGCGGGAACGGCAGCATCAACAGCACCTTCGGCGTCACGCTGCTGCGCTCCATGATCCGCATGTCGCCGTGGCGGCGGCGCCGCCTCCACCACCCGCAGTACCTCCGCCCGTACACCCGCCGCCGCCAGTGCTGCCAACCACGCGCGCTGCTGATCACTCAATCGGTCCCGTGGGCCCTGTGGGGGCCGCGGGGGAATGCATGCACCGGCCAGGACGAAATGGCCATACCCCGGGGGATGATGAGAGGGTCGGCAGGGTGAGGGTGAGGAGGTGGTTATTGCCCCGGTGTAAGCACCAGGAATTCGGGATCTCGCCAGGATGACTTTCATCCCAAACACACATAAAACTTTCCGCCAGCTCCCGACCATCCTTCTTCTTTTCCCACACACCCGCACACTCCACAACACAGTCCCGCCCCCTCGCCAAGGGTATTCCCCGCAGAGGAAGGCCCAAGCACCTCCCACCAGCAGTTGCTTCTCGCCGCTCCTTCCGACAGGCGCATGTACACACTGCCCATCGAGCGGCAGCCAGCACCCCCCCCCCCACACACACACACGCTGCACGCCCACACGGGTCCCACCCTCCCCCATCCCCCTTTCGTCCTACACTTCACCACCATTGCGATTTCCTTTGCTTTTCTGCTTTCTTTAAGACTTTCCTTTCACCTCGGCGGCTAGGTAGTCTTTTCGCTTTTTCGCCTGCTTTCTTTGAACTTTTGGACTTGGCAGCAGCTAGTAACTCGTTTCGCAAGCTAGCTGGCCACGTCGCCACCATGACCACCATTCATTGGTCAGTAAATATCCCTGATGATGCAGTATTTGTCTTCTCCTGGACTATCCGTCAATCTCTGGTTTCTGCTTGAATCGTCAGTGGTCCCTCTCAACCCCCCTTCCCCCTCCCCTCCCCACCTTGACCTCCGACACCATTGCGTCCCCCCTCTCCGGTCTCCACAGCAACAGGTCCGGCATGCCGCCCCGCCAGCCGCCCGCGTCCTCGCACAGCCGGCGGCATACCACCGACAGACCCAGCCCGCCAACGCACCTGCGCAGGCCGGGGGGGGAGAGAAGGAGGGAAGTTCCCGCGTACCGATAGTCGTAGAAGCACAACCACCACCACCATCACCACCACCAGCAGAGAGCAGCAAAGTTGCAGGTGCGCAGCAGCAGCCGCAGCCGTTACAGCGTAACCTCCAACCGCTAACACCCCCAACACCTCTCACCTCACCTCACCTACCTAGCAATCTGCAGCAGCTCCCCCAGCGGCAGCCTCCCCCAGTGCACCCCCCGGCACCAGGTGCCCGCGTGACGGGACCACACGGAGCGGAGCAGCTCGGGGCCGCCACCGGAGGCAATCAACTGCCAGACGGTGTGGCGGGATGGCGGGGGTGGCGGGGGTGGAAGGGGTGGAAGGGGAGGGAGGAATGGCCGGGCACAGGTGGTAAGGTGGCGGTGCGCAGGTCACAATGCGGGCAGCTGCGGCTTGGTAGCGATGTAAAGTAAAATTCCCGTGCGATAGTATAAAATAGTTTTTCTTGCGCGTTTTGTGATATCTCTTTATTTCGGACGGCCTTCGGCCCCCCCCCTCAGGGCTCTTGTGGCCCCTCAGGGCTTCAGGTATGGGCTCCCAGGTTATATGCCTTTGGAGGGTAACGCGACTACAGAAGGTGGCGTAACACACACAAACATACATACATATACACGCACATTCACCAGTTAAGTACTGCATAACGCGCCCCAACCGGTTGAAGCAGACGAGGGGTCCCTCTTACACAAGCACGAAGAGATTAGGGTCAGGGCGGGGGAGGCAAGGCAAGGCGCGTATGAGTAACAGTTATTGTGCGGCGGCCGCGTCAGCGAGCCTGGGCGGTGTGGTATGTTCTTGGAAGCAGGAAGGTGGGAAAAGGGATAAAGGCAAAGAGAAGCGGACAAGGTGGAGGTGGGTGGATGGATCGATGGTACACAGATCCAGATACATTCCAACTTGAAGTTGAGTTGCGAATACGGGCATTGTACGGTGCCGTCCGCGCGTCCTTGACTCCAGGCGCCATGGAGAAGAAAGAAGAAGAAGAAATTAGAGGAAAGCCCGCTAAGGAGAACGCACAACACGGGTGGTAGTCGCTACCTAGCTGCTGACGCCCTTCGGCCCTCTCCAAATATACAAGGAATTTGGAAAGGCCAACCGAAATTAGGTGTCCAGCTAAAGCCAGATGGGATGCCAAACTTTAATACAGCAAACCACGATATAAATTATGCTGCGTTTATGTTTAAATGTTCTTATAAAGTTGTGAGAACTTGTGAAAGGAGAGGTTCGTAAAAGCCGGGACAGCAACGACGGGAAGCAGGAAGGAAGGTGTAGAGGCCCCATCAGGGAGCTGAAACAGGCAACGGGCCAAAAAACTCTAGCGGCCTAATCAAGCTGGCACAGATATTAACAGCGATAAAGACCAGCGATATGTCCATAACCACATTTCGCGGTCAACATTTTAATTGAGGTGCTGACGCAAAGCCAATACAAACATTTTTTTCAAGGAAAGCTGCGAAACATGCAAAACAAAACAAAGATAAAACAATGAATCGCTGACCATGGATTCGATGTGTGTCTCTTGGAATCCGAACCGGAATCGACCTCGGCATGCACAGCTGGGGTATCTCCATTTACACCACAACTATGCTACTACCAACACACCGCCTGAGGACCACCGCCGCAACCAACAACCACTACAGCCACCGCCGAGCCACACCGCCATCGTAATCAGCCCATGCGTAAATGGCACCATGCCGTACCTGCAGACGCTCGTCCACCGCCGCGCGGCGGGCGGGCAGGAACGCGTCCGTGTCCAAATCCAAGGGGGAGGTTTGGAAGGGGTTCCTGAGGGTGTGCACGTGTGCGTGTGTGCGTGTGTACGTGTACGTGTGTATATGTGTGTGCGTGGTGGGAAGAGTTTAGGCCCGGGGGGAAGGAGTGAAAGGGCTTCACAACGATGAATATTAAAAGTTGATATCCACGCGGTGTTTGAGGTCGCCGTCGAGGTAATGCAGCCCCCGACTGTCGACTGCGACGGCGACCAACGGAGTCGGAACCTACTCCTGTTCGGATGTGACCCCCCCCCCCACACACACACAGCCCCCCCAGGGCTCAACACCCCAGGGCTCAACACCCTTTCACATCCATGCGGTGTGTTGGTCTACGAATACATACGGCCCCCTCGATGCACCTAGAGCGCGCACTTGCCTCCCCCTTTCCCTCCCCCTTTCCCCTCCCCCTTCCCCTCGCCCTCCCCCCCCCTTCCCCTCGCCCTTCCCCTCCTCATCAAAGTCCGCAGTCTGCACCCGGATCAGCGGGGGCCCTGTCACGGCCCCCTATCGCAGCCACACACACACGCAGCCACACACACGCAAGCGCCCACCTGAACACCTCAGGCACGTCCATGAACAGCACGTCCCAGCACAGCAGCGCCCACATCGTCACCCACACGCCCCCCTCGCTGTGCACACCCCGCCAGCCGCCGCCCGCGGGACTGCAGTAGTGCAGCAACGCCAGCTGCTCCACGGTCACCAAGGGGGAAGCAGCAGCGGGGCCGGCAGCACCAACGGCAGAAGGGCGGGCGGGGGCAGGGCCCGGGGGGTTCGTGCCAGCGGCAGAGCTTGCAGCGACGCTCTGGGCGGATGGTGCCAGGAAGCGACTCTTGAGACCTGCGCGCGCGTGCGCGTGCGCGTGTGTTTTCGGGGTTGCGTGTGGAGGAAGGGGGTGGAGATGGTGCCCAAATGGAGGACAAGGGACAGAACGGGGTCCCGCAACCCCAAGAGCCTGGGGATCATGCAGGCGCGCTTAGCTATTCGTTTACTTTTGCTTACTACTACTTGCTGACGTAACCTTCGACTCAGCTGTCGATAGAGATGACCCAAGCCTCCCGTGCACAACCCAGCACAACCCCTCGGGTGCCCGCCCCGCACCGGTGCGACCACGCAGCATGTGTCCCGACACCACCACTTCTCGGGGCTCCGCCAGCGCCGCCGCCGCCCAGGGCGGCCGCCGCCACCTCCGCGGCGGCTTACCCAGCCGTAGAACTCGGCGTTGGAGCGCCAGACGGTCGCCGTGACGGACCCATGGGTCCGTCAAGGCCGCCTCGGCAACCTGACACGGGCGCATTGAGGCACGAAACGGTGAGCGGAAAAAGGAATAATAAAAGAGTAAAGGAACAGAACGTCGGCAAATGTGGAGTTGGAAAGGGAATGGAGGAACGCAACGGAACCGAAATTGCTTTGTTTGTTTACCAGGTGCGCTCCCATCTGCCGTCAGACCGCGCACACATTCCCGGAGGGCGCAAGAGGAGCCCTGAGGCGCACAAAATCCTACAACACACGCACCGAAAGCGACGTCTATTTCCGATACCCTCAAGCACGTTTGCAGGTAAATGTACACGGACAGAAGACAGACGAACTGTCAGACTTACAGAACAGAAACAGGCAGCTACATAGGGACAGGCAGAGTACACATACACACAGGCACAAACCAGCAGTGCCTCCTCCTCCCGGCCCAGATGCTGCAGGTCCACCGACATGCGCATCCACCACTCCCCCCGCCGTCCTGGGCAACACCGCCCCTGGAGCAGCTGACGAAGCAAACACACCGCCTCGCCGTACCGCCGGTGGCGCTCCAGAAAGGACACACCTGGGTCGGGGGGGAAGAGGGGTGAGACGGGAAGGAGAGAGAGAGAGAAGAAGAAGAGGGCGGGCGGTACGGGGGAAATCACGGGGAAAGTCGGTTAGTTAAGAAAAACACACAGTTGGTCTGGCACGTTGCGGGTTAGGGCGCCATGTGGGGGACGGGATGCCGGCGGGAAACCCCTGATGGCGATGATGGGCGCATGCACACCATGACGCATGACCATCGTACATGGGTGAATGGGTGGATGGGTGGGTGTGTTGTCCGAAGCGAGCTGATATTCGGAGGGAAAGGATATCAGGACTCACGTAACCCAACACGGCTGGGCAAAGGGGGGTCACCTGCCGATGTCCGGAAAAGGGGAGGGCGGGAGGGAGGGGGGGAGGGGGGAAGAGAGAGAGAGGGAGGTGATGGAATGTCATGTAAGGCGCTGACCCACGTGGAAATCCCGTACAGTATAACGCCCAAGTCGTACACTCACCGACAGTGGTCATGCTCGCATACACCCACGCCGCGCAGAATCGCGCCAGGAACTGCTGCGGCTGCGGCTGCGGCTGCGGCTGCTGGGTCCGCTCTTGCATTTCACCGGGAATGGGTTCCACATCTAAACGCGAGGAGGGCTCCTGGCGATCTGGTGACACTTGATGGGCGTCATCCCGGGGCCCAACCTCCCCGTCCAGCTGCTGCTGCTGCTGCTGCCGGCACGCGTCGGAGTTGGGATTGGCTGCGGCAGTGTTGCCAGGCGAAACACCCCCGCAGTCCGTGGTGTACAGGATGTCGTACTCGTCGCCGTACATGATGTCATCCTCGCCGCCACCGCCGGCGGGCTGCAGGATCCCCGCCACGCCGCCGCCGTCATGCCCGACACTGAGGTTGACGCCGACGTCTACACCGACGTCAATGACGGTCCCCACGTCGCGGTTGGCCTCTTCCGGCGTCTGGCCCCCCACCTCCCCCAGCGGAGGTTGCTTTTGGCATGCACCTACACGCCGGCCATCAGCATAGCCAGCAACCTGCACCACAGGAAAGTGTCCCTGCATCGCCTGCTGTACTACATGCTCCGTACGTAGCCCTAAAGCCGCCACCTCTTCCTTGCCTTGCGCCGCCGGCTTCACAGACGCCGCGGCCTCCATTGCAGCTGCCGCCACTGCCTTCGCAACAACAGCGCCAACAGCAACGGCAGCAGCAGCACCACGGCGACATGGACCTGTAGACATCACTGCCGCCGCGGGCGTAACCGTATCACCTCCGTTCTCCATCTCCACGCCATCCCCGCCGCCCTCGTCATCGCTGCTGTACGTCAGATCCACGGATTCCAGAACCCCACAGCCTGCACCTGAAGGTGGTGGTGGTGGTGCCCGCTTGCCACCGCCGCAACGGAGGCACTGGCCTTCACCACCGACCCACGGGTCATCGCCGCGGCGCATACCGCTATCGCCACCACCTGCACTTCTGTTTTCCGCAAAGCTCCCGTCGCTATGGCACGTGCACGACGCCTTGGCCACCGCTGTCAACGCCGTCCCTGAAGACATCCCCGCAGGCGCCTGTGGCTCGGCAGAGCCGCGCACCTGCGGCCCGCCGGCGCCATCACTCATGCCACCGTCATCTCCACTCGCGGCGCCCGTCGGACATGCCATGCTGCCGTCCTTGACGTCAGCGGCAGCACATCCAGCGGTTGGTGCCGCCTCCCACGGCCAGGGACCCGGTACGGCACGCACGGGAATGGTGGCGTCGCCGCGCCAGCGGACGAGCCGGTGGGCGCCAGCGCGCACGGCCGCCAGCGCCGGCGCCAGCGCCGCCGCCACGCCGGCGTCGTCTCCAGCCTCCAGGCAGCTCTCCAGCTTTGCAACCGCGAAAAAACACGCCAGCAGGCCGGCGACAGGTTAGCCGCATGGGTGTCCGCGCTCAAGGCCATTTCAAGGAACTTGACGGCACTTAACGGCTTCCAAGTCACGGCGTAAAGAATGCTGAAGGAGTGTGCTTTAGGGTCTTGGGGAGTGAGGGAAAAGGGGCTGTGGACCTAAGAACCGACGGATCTCTGCGGAGCGTTCTTTGAGGATATACCAGGAGCCCCGGGCTGAAGTCAGCTGGATGGACATGCCGGCGTGTGTTTCCCCCCGGTGAGGTTGCTCGTGTGTCCCATCCTTGCCGGTTTCAGCCAACGGCTCGGTTTAATGGACCACACTAAGGGCTATCTATTCCGGTGCGCGGCGCAATGCTGCCCGTGGGGGGCGGCCCCCCAAAACACACCCCGACCCCGCCCTCGGACAGCATCACCCCAAGCTCCCCTGGTGAAACCTGGCAATCACCCCACAACTGACACAACTGACACAACTGGCACAACTGTACCTGCGCCGCGTGATCCAACGCCTGCTCGTACTCCAAGAGCTGTTGGCGGCATGTGAATGCGGAGGAGGAGCGGTTGATGGTATAGGTGGGGTAGCGGATGACGCCGCGTTCGGTGGCTAGGAACCTGCGGACGGCGGCCAAGACGTGGTGCCCGAGTGCTGTCTTGGGTTTGTGACAGTTATGGTGGTTGTGCGTAGGGTTGGGGCCAGGGCTGTGATTGATTGATGTCGGGGGCTGGGCGGGATGAACCTTGTCGGCCCCGGGGTCCCCCGGGGGCCCCGTACATAAAGCTCCAATAGCGAGGACCGACCCTTAGGGGGTGGGAGAGGTTGACGCCTGGCGGCTGGGTTTGTGTCGAGCCGTCAAACTCCCTCCACCCATCCAACTCCCCAACCACAGAGATACGCATTCCTCAACGTCAGGTGGGCAGTCAGGGCCGCCGCAGGAGGCGCTGCTTTCTTTATCCTACAAACGTCACCGTCCAAGGACCTGCCATGGCAGGTTCGCATGATGTGCAGTAACTCTCCACATTCGGTGAGCACGTTGCGGCGCGACTCCGAATCGCTTCCCGTCCAGTTTGGCCTTCCTTTGTTTCGGAAGATGGACGAGATGGGCAACGTTTGGCGGATATGTCCGTTTCCCCGTCTTACAGCTGCAGTCCCCGTGCCCCGCGCCCTCCTTTCTCCCCAGCTTTCCTAATGGACAAGTCCTCAAGTCCTCTCCGGCGGAACCCCCACTTTCTACTTTCCTCTTAGGCCCGCTTTACATACCCTGCAACCCAGACCTACTGCTCCCCCCTCCAATGCGGCCCACCTGCCCAGATCGGCTGCGGGACCCTCCGCCAGGAAGTAGAGCCGCTGCATGCGGGCCAACAGCTCCAGGGAGGGGGGTGACAGCCGAATGCAGGGACCCACCATCGCCTCGACCTGGCTTGGTGCGGTGTGGTGGTTATGTGTTGTGTTGTGTTGTGTGTGCATGTGCGTGTGCGTGCATGTGTGTGAGTGTATGTTTGTGTATGTATGTATGTGTGCGTGCGTGTGTGGATGGCACGGCGGGCCAGGGAGGGGCAGGGAGGAGGAATAGGGAGGAGTTAGGGAGCCTGGCGCACCGGAGGGAATGGAGGCAGGTCGGGAGAATTGTCGAAAGCAGGGGCCACCAGCTTGAACTTTCTCTGCCACAATCGCCTCATAAGAGTGATGGAAGCGGCGAACAGAGACAGCAGTCTTGAAACTTCCTGGTTGGATGATTTCGCTGATTCTTGCGTGGGTTCTCTGGCTTCCAACGGTGTACACGCAAAGCAAAAGCAACGGCTGCGGCTACCCTCCCGGCCTACATTGCACGGCATGGCATTGCATGGCATCGCACATTTGCCCCGCAGCAGCCAAATCGTCCGTACACACCCGACGGCTGATCTCCGTCGTACAGTCTGTGCAGCGCCGCCGTAGCTCCTCAATCTCCGCTGCCTTCCCGCCGCCACCGCCGCCGCCGCCGTTCGCACTTCCGCCGCTGCAGCCCCGTCGCTTGCCCCTCGCAGCCCCGCTGCTCCGCAGCCCGACACCCCCGCCGCCGCCACCCCCGTCTCCTTCCGGATCTCCGACATGCAAGCTGCCGACCGCGAGATGACCACCCCCTGAACCACCATTTAAGACACGTCCACCACTATAGATCTCATTGCCGCCACTCACTACCTCTGCAGCACAGTCCGCGGCTACTGCAAGCGGCGCCATGGCGCCCGCGCTTGCCTGTGCCACCGAATGATCAGCAGTCCTAGTGCCGGTGGCAAGAGCCTGGGCACCGGCACCGGCGTCACCGGCGCCTGCACTACCATCCGCATCCTGCACCCCGTCGGTCGCTGCACCCGCTGCGACGGCGGCGGTAACACCGTCAGCGGCGGCAGGGCGGTCTACATGCCGCCGTGTGTAGGCAAGAATTGACGATTTAGGGGGCGGTTGGTAGTGCTGGTGGTGGTGGTGGTGCTGGTGCTGGCTGAGTGATCGACGAGGGTCCTCGTGTGCGCGTAGGCCCCGTTGATTTGGCTGATGCTTGCGATGATGGTGATGGTGATGGTGGCGACGGCGATGGTTGGGGCCCGCCATCGTCGCTAGCAATGCCCGTACCTCCGCCACGGGCAACAGCTCCGCGACCTGTGCGGCATACATGAATGACAAATCAGGAGACAAAACCCAGATCGGGGTCAACTGGTCAGCAAAGCAAATTACCAGCCGTATGCTGCCTCCCCAGTTTCGCAAGCGCACCACGCAGCGGGGCCGCGCGCACGGAGACGCACCCACGTAGCCAACTCGCAATCGACTGCAATGTGTTCAAGTTATAAACGAATTCAGGTATCTATCCTCTACGCTCAAGTACGTTCCGCTCAAGTACATTAAGGTCAATCGTTGCACACTGCTAGTGCGCTGCGTTGTGGTTCAAGCTCCCTCCCTCGACTTGTGGCCGTATCTTTGTCTGGCGAGACCACGAGACCCTTTTCCCCCGTCGCTGCACCTGCGGCCAGTCCTCAGGCTGGGGCCGTACCGCCAGCTCCGCCGCCACGAGCGCCTCCGCCGCCACCGCCACGTCACCGCACTCCAGGTAGGTGATGCCGCGGAGGGTGAACCAGGGACCCCGGCGCAGCAGCAGGCGCAGGAACAGGCACTGCGCTGGCGGCGGTAGGCCCTGCAGTCTGTCCAGCAGGCCGAGCTCCAGGGAGGTCAACAAGTGTCCGTCGTGGCGCCTGTTCGGCGGAAGAGAAGCGAACGTTCGGATTTTTTTGAGCATTTTTTGCGTGGGTTCGGGTTCGGTCTCTGTTTTATTTATCTTGGGAAAACATGGTTTGGGTCACTGTTGTTGCTTTTTTTATTTTTTGGTGGCCTAGCTTGCAATGGGATTTTGTCTCTTCTAGTTGGTTTGGCTGGCTTTTGGCCCGTCGTGGTCTATATCATTCAAGTCGATTTGAGCAAAATATTTGGTTCGCGCCGCATGGTTGATCATGAACAACACCTGGCCCGTCCAATCCTCACAACTCCCAGCTCCCACTCCCAGCGCTACACAGCGCAATTCGCCGCCGAAAGGCAGTCCGGGAACCCAACTGAACCATCTTCATCAAAAACAGACATTTCCCGTCATCTACTCAAGACACAACCCCCCAACGTGGCTGTCGTACCGCCATACCTGACATCAGCCGCCATTGTCGCAAAATTGCTACGCAGCACTTCCCCTGCCGCGGTGTTTGGGGACGAGCGGGCAAGCCTCCACGCGGCAGCTGCCGCCACTGCCGCCTCCAGCGCCGCCTCCGTGGCCGCAGTGGCGCCGTCGGCACCGGAACCCTCGCGCGGCCCCGCGGCGCCGCCACCGCCTGCCGTACCACCTCTCAAACCCGCCACGTCTCCTGACTTCTGACCGCCATCTGCGTCCCTGGAGTCCGCAGCTTCCGCTCCAACACCACAGCCACGCAGCCGAGCACTTGCTGCGGTGCGGGTGGCCGTGCCGACATTGCCATCACCCACTACCGTATAAGTCTGGGCGCCGTCGGAAACGACAAGCTTGGATGCTCCTGGCCCGGCGGTGGAAGCTGCGCAGCCGCCACCGCCGTCACTGCTGCTGCAGCCACCCTCGCCGACGCTGACGCCGCTGTGTACAGCCTCCGCCGCGCGCGCGTACACGACCAATGGCACGCTGCCTGCGCCTTGCATGTGTGCCGCCCAGCACACATGCACCTGGAAGATGGCAAAGGAAGTAATTTCCGCAGTCATCGTTAATGGGATAACCAGGAGACGCCATGGCCGTGTGATGACCCTCCCTGGTGTAGCCCATGGAGTGCTCATTCCGCCACACGTACACAGGCTCCAGACTTTGGCCCCCTGCGAGGGGGCTATAGGCCTTATTGCGTGTCGGCATGTGGGAGGGTGCAGCGAAGGCAAGGGATCGAGCAGCCAAAGCTGGTGGCCGAGGTGGCCGAGGTAGCCGCGGCGGGGGCCCGGGGTACCCCGGCTGCATCTAGTGCGGTAGTGCGGTTGACTGTGTGTGCACTTCCCAGCTTCCGCTGCACTTCCAGCTCTCCTCGCCTTGCCGCGCTGCTGCATCAGGAAATGGCGCCGTCATAACTCCCGCCATCACCACCACCATCATCACCATGGCCAGCATAATGAACACTGAAAGTGGCCTATCCATACCTAAACATATACGTCCACGTTGCCGGCACTCTTGGTGGGCTTACATGGCAGGGCACTGCCCTGCTGTTCCGTACGCAATGCCCACCTGCGTTTCGAGCTGTCCAGCCCGCAAAAGAGGCCCCAGGTGGGCGGCTACGGCGGCAGGGAGGTAGCCAACCAACAGGTCCTCACCGCCATTGGCGGCGGCAGGCGGCGTAGCGCTGGGCCCGCCGCTGCTGCTCCCAGCCGTTGTGGTGCAGAGTAGGACCTGTACGGCAGGACTCGTGACGGCGTACGGCAGGCGGTTCCCGCATAAACGAAGGCAGGTGCTATGTTTATTATGCATTCATGCGCACGTATTCCCCGTCTATTCGTGGACTGCTGAGAAGTAAGAAACCCTTATGAGAAAGACCAGGCCGGGTCGCAAGGGAGGTAATGCCGTATCACGCATGCGGCGTAGTACCGATATGACGCCTCCCAAACCCTGGCTGAGCGGGCTGGTCGCGACGTTATGAGCCGTCACGCTCGCTGCTGTTTTCGGTTCCTTAGCTGCGTTTGCTCTCCTCAACCAGCAAACTAAGCGCACCTGGACTGCATTTACGTCTTGTGGGTTGGTGGGCTCCGGAACCAAGCGATATTGATGGCCTTGAACAGGCGGCCAGCTGTTCATTCGGTGCACCGTACTGTCGGCGGCGGCGGCGGCAGCACTGGGATGTGATGGTACTGCTGTGGCTGCAACCGCAGCGACGGCGGCGGCCGAGCTGGCCCTTCTGAACCGTAACCCAACAACGGCGGCCTCGATGCGGAGCCAGCCGCTGCCATCAGGTGGTGCAGGCAGATCGAGTTGCTCTGCTGCATGCAAGTGCGGATCCAGGAGCTGTTCAGGGAGAGGATGTCCGTCCAGGCGATTTGGGTTTGAAAGGGGGGTCGCAGGACGCTGCAGCCGGGGCGGCCGCCTTGGCGGAAGGGACGGTCGAGCTTCTGTAGGTTGATTGGTTGTGTGACACACGCAGCCACTTTTCGGATCTGCGATAGGACCGCGGCGAACAGCGGTTTGCCGTAAACATGTACGGTTATAGAATCAGACCTTTGTGAGAATGCTCTGAACATAACATACCAAAGGTTTGCTGTCGCTTGGTCGCAGTGTTTGGTTCCTCCTTGCCGGCTTTGCGCTTTTTCGCGCCGAAAACGGATTTCCCAAGGAGCAACTGGAGGGAGCCCTGTCCTCTCAAGGCCATTCCTGCTCGACTTTTACTCTAAACCCACGTTTAACTTGTGGCGACAAGTGAATGTGAGCACCCGGGACTGCAGCGGAACGCCATGTTGCGTCTGGAGTTCCGCTTTCAAAAATTTCAACGTGGCAATCAGGTTTTTCAAAATCCATCCATTTCTTCAAAGCATGAAAATGTGGCTAGGTGCCATTGCGACGCATCCTGTCAAGCTGGTCCAGGAAAGAAATATCTCTCCTTCCGGAGTGTTCACACATTCCCGTCACATTGCAGGCGTAATGGTATAATGTCCATACAAATGGAGGAACTCATGGACAGGACACTGCTGAAAGTGTCCGTAAGCATTAGTAAACCACTTTATACGGTACACTGGAAACCATGCTACTATGCAATGGCATCTCATATTCAGTAGCAAGCAGCCGGCTGCCAGTAAGGCCTTTATGATGATGCACGCTGGGAGTGTTCTCCCATTACTTGAACTTCCCTGCGAAATTTGCGAAGTCCGGTATGCCAACCAACGCTTATGCCCTGGTGTCTGGTACTGCATGCGTCGTCCTTGCATGAGACCCCAAAACCGCGTTTGGAATGTGTTACATCCTGCTGACAATAGCCATGCAAGTAAGGTGACGCTGGGCAAGGGGTAAATGTGGAAATCGGTGCTGTTTTAGCCACCGCTGGTCATAGGGGTGCTGTAGAATGCACCAGATACGGGACAGACGATGTCCAAATATCCATTATCAACGCGCTAACGTTCTGCGCTCTTGACTTGTCGCGACAGCAGCTATTGCTGCTTTGAAACCACGGCAGTAAACCTGGTCTAGGAAGTCAGCTTAATGGGTCATGGGCCGCGATTGTGCACGGGAGCATGAACTGCATAATCCCCAGCTACCAACATAGGACATTGATGACGCGTGCATCAAGCTATGGCTTGGGATATCAGGGGGCTGGCCGCTGAGGCTCTGCTGTCAGGTGGGGCCTCTTGAGGCTTGCAAAGAAGATCGATGAGCATTCTTTGACCCAGGCACAATGTCCTCTTGTGATATGTTCATGTTCACCAGTTGATGCGTCTCCTTGTCCGCTTCCATGATCTTGTCCGGGTGACTAACAAGAGGAGTGCTTGCCCCCTCGCACTTATTTACTGCTTGTATGGAACAAGAGCAGGAAAATTATGCCGCGCACTTCAAATAAATGGCATGGCCTCCTCTGGATGTCATGGTGTGCAAGGGCACAGCTGTAGTTATAATCTGCACAACTGATAGATATACGGCAACGGCATTTCACAACAGCCGACCGCCTGAATCCGAATTGGGAGGGCAGCTTCTGTACTTGTTAATTATGGGAACATGAGATTTACATAAGCAGCTTTTGTTAAGGAGGCCATCCTTGTTATAGCTTTCAGTTTACCTGCTTTTCCAGCGATCAGACCAGACCTTTCTTGATCTGACAAAATGAGAAATAAATATTGACCTAAGTACAAGGAGAGATGCGTACGTACCAGCACACCAGGCGCATCTACCCCCAGCCCGCGCGTGTGTCTTTCTTTTCCATTTTACCGCGGCTGCTAGTGATCTCGGCGATTTTTTTAATCATATGTTATGCTGGCTGGGCATTTAGGGAGTTGCGGCAGCACGTCGAACGCACAGGAACCACTGCTCCGGCCGAGCAAGTGCGCATCGTCGTAAAAACGGTCAAGGTAAATAGTTCGCGAATCTCTGCGTGATGGAAAGCTTACGGGCATTCTTTCGCGAGGAATACCCTTGACAGACCCCCTTTCGCCTGACGGCCCACCTGACGGCCTTTCCCCACCTCGTCAGGCCTCGGCAGGTCGGAAGGCCGAAAGTGTGACGGGCACAGTGGGGCCTAGTATATCCAAGCTTGCAGCATCCGATAACACTGTCAGCAAGCCTGGCAGTACTGCGGAAACCGCTAGCACAGCAGCTAAAGTTACCGATTCGACTGGAACCGCTGGTGCAGCAGCACAGACTAATACCCCGGCGAGGACACAGGATGGCGTTTCAGGCCCTGAGCTTCTGCCCACGCCCGTTCGAGGCCGCATGGGGCGCAGCTCCGGCGTGCAGCTGACGCGGCCGTCCCCCGGGGGTACACTGTTCAGCTGGGGACTTAAGGAATGGCGGCTGGCGAGGATGGCAGGTGGGCATGTTCGCAAAGAGAACCCAAATTATTGGCTCCGAGGTGTCTTTTCATCCACAGCGGTGGACACTATTTGGCAACTCCGGACGCAATCCCAACACGCGCACCACTTTGCAAAACCTTTCGCCTGGTGCAATCCTTTGGGCCAGCCAAGCACAGATATGCAGCGGGTGCGTGACCCCTCGACCGCTGCTCAAAGCCGGGACCCGTTAACGGTGACCTTGACTGCTGAGGCGGCGTCTTCTCAGGGGCAGGGCTGTTATCCCGACGCGCCTTGCACACAGCACCTGTCCGGTACACTGCCGCATGGTGTACCTGTCAACACGCCGTCCCAGGTCTGGCTGAGGAGGAAGGCATAACTCTTGCGGCCATCCCGTTGGTTACCTCACCGCCGACGACTCCCAACCTGCCCTAAGCCGATTCGACGCTCGAGGAATGCTCCACGGCTTCCTTGGATGGCTTCCTTCTTTAGTGCCAAAGGGGATCCCAGAAGAGAGCGTGTCACACCAGGAGCCATCCAGCTCGTAGAGTTTCGATGCGGTACTGTAGTCAGGACGCCCCCATGGTTTTGCTAGGCAAGGCACTCCAATCCCAAATCACATCATACCATACCGAAACAACCCACATCGTTGACAACAAGGGCAAGTCCGCCGCGTGCCAGGTTGCGACATGTAGGGCGCTAAAAGGTCCGAGGGCTGAAGCACAAGATGTGCTGTTTGGTGTCGTTTACCTTGACCACCTCGCTGTGTGATTGCTTGCAGGCGACACTTCGCTACCCGAGCCCGCCCAGCGGCATATGACCGTCATCTCAGTGGCCGCCAGCCGCCATTCCGCCATTGCGACTGCCGATGGCGTGGTTTGGACCATGGGACACAACGACTCAAAGTACGTGTCGTGTCGCACTGTTGTAAGCTTGCCGACCAGCCTAGACCTGACCTGGCATGCGCTTGCGCTTGCGTCCTGTATCGGGGACCATGCAGTGTGTCACAGTAGCAAAGCAAAGCTCACCGGCCTCGTATAATGGCCTAGATGAAGATGCATGGCGCCACTCTCCCAGAGGAGAGCTCGGCGGTTGCCCAGTCATTGCGTAGGCGCGCGACAATACGGTTGGGTGGGCTTAAATGGAGTCTCGGTGGTCCATGTGGTGACCTCGTGCGAGATTTGCCCTCGTCCATGGCCTCGCTTCTTTAAGTGTATATGCCCTGCATGTACTCCAGGGGCGGCGGCGGCCATGGAAGTCCTCCGTTGGATGCTTCAGGGCAACTGGGTCGTGGCGGGACCAAGGAGCCTGGTCCCGTGGAAGGTCCCCTCCGCGGCAAGTTTGTGGTGCAGGTGGTGACGGGGCGTTACCACACCATGGCCGTCACTGAGGATGGGGAGCTCTACTCCTGGGGCCTCAACGACTGGGGGCAGCTGGGCCGGCCCGCGGTGGGAGCCACGTCGGAGTCGGACCCCACACCCTGCACCGCGGGGCCAAGCTGCCACTCGGGAATGTGAGTAGGGAAAAAGGGTCTCGGAGCGGGTGTGGGGGGGAAAGAGGTTCTCATCGTGCGACTCAGGCACGACTCAGATGATGCCTGAAGTGCTACGAGTGGGATATGCTAGCTAAGTTGTCGTAGCAAAGATATGGCTGGCATGTGTCTGGCTTCCAGTGCCCTATCATCTGATGACTCCTGTACTCCCTGTCACGTGCCGCAGCCCCGGCCTGGTGTCCCTACCTGGCGGCGTCCGCGTGGTGGGTGCTGCTGCCGGTCGCTATGTGAGTATGGCGGTGGACGACTCAGGACGGTTGTACACTTGGGGACATGATGGATGCTCCAACGGCGGGAAGCTGCCTGAGCGGAATGAGGCCTACAAGCCTAAACTGGTCAGCGGAGAACTGGCAGCCAAGCGCGTGGTTGCATTCGACGCGGGCTACGTGTTCTGGCTTGCTGCTACGGCGGAGGGCGAGGTGTACACGTGCAACTCGCAGGTGAGAGGGAAGAGGGGAATCGAAACAGTGGGAGGGGGCACTAGGGAAGGTGAAGTACCTATCTGCGGGTCCAGGGGGCATATGACGATATGGATTTCCAAGCTTATCTGCCCACCCACTCGACACCCTCATCCGCCCACTCCACATCCTCTTCCTCAGGACGATGGGTACGCGGGCACGCTGTCCAGTCGGCGGGCACCGAACAATGCCGGTGAACTGGGCCGCGGAGGAGACCCGCTGGTGCCAGGACGAGTGGAGGGCGGGTTGGCGGGGAAAAAGGTTGGTACGGAAGCCCGGGGTCCCACCTAGCCTTTTGCTATGCCACGATGCCCAGTTGCCCAGCACGTGGCTACTTGGCGACACACAATCTGGGCCATGAGCAGATCTGCTGCTCAGGATTCCTTGGCTAGATTTCTGCGTGACCTATGCAACTTCTTGGAAGCCCGTGTGCTCTCATCGCGCGTCGTTGGCCATTCCGCCGCTTATCTCACACGGCTCCAACCTCTTCATTGTCTATTATGCGTCCGTCTTGCGCTGCTTTTCATTTGCGCAAGGACACGTCGGGTGAGACGTTTTACCAGTGCCCGGGCTTTGCCCTGTGATGTCTTCGTAGGTTGAGGCTGTCGCTGCGGGCCGCGAGCACGCCGTGGTGTCCACTGCTGACGGCAAGGTGTTCACGTGGGGCGGCAGGGAGCTGCTCATCGGCAGGGAGGGGAACTCCAGGGAACCTGCTCAAGCACTGGTGAGAGAGCGATCTTCCGTCGTTGAGGTTGAGTGCTACTCCACAAGCGGTGGCAAAAGCTGTGCCACTGTTTAAAACTACCTTGTGTCCTCCCGCCTGTGTCCTCCCGAACCCAAGGGTGCACTGGCGAGTGATAACATCCGCTTCGTGTCAGCGGGGGAGTACCACAGCGGTGCGGCCTCCGAGACCACTTTGTACGGCTGGGGCAGCAACAACTATCTGTGCACTGGTATTGGCAAGGATGCCCGCGCGCAGGTAAGATACATGGGACACAGGTGTCAGTTGAGTGCATATTGATGACACGCAATGGACGGAGAATCCCCGATCTGCGCGTTGCGAGGTCGGGGGAAGTGCGAGCTGTAGCTTCTTAGCTGTCCTGACCTCTCAATTGCCGAGAGTGCAGCTTGCACAGGCCGGGATCCTTCAAGGGCGGCTGTGTAACTCGTGATAGCGGTTTGGGTTTCCTGCAGTACGGCACGCAGCATGTGGTGATGGCGATGACTGTGGTATCCTTACGTCAGGTCGTTCGGTAGTGGGAATAGACATTTTGAACCCAGGCGCGCGCATGGAGCTGGTGCGGCGGGTAGCCTGAGCGGATTGCTGCTTTAGCAGGGCGGGCTGGACTGGGTAGGCAATCCGCAATGCATCGACACAATTACTTTCGTTGCTGGAGGACTCTGCAGGCGCTCGGCTGGGGACGGATATCCTAGTGCAATCCTGGGGTTGGGAAACGTGCATTATCGGAAGTCAAATATGCTGGCCTGAAGGCGCCCGATTCGTCCCGCTCGACAGGTTCTCCGTCCTGCCAAGTCGCTGGGCCCTATTTCGGAAGGGGGCTGGCAGGTGCAGGCGCTGGCAGCTGGCTATCAACACGCACTGGCAATTGCGGCCAACAAGGGCGGTAGTTGGGAGAGCAAGCCGAGGTAGGTGTCCGGGACCATTACTCGCATGGCGTGAGTCACAACAGTCGGTGAAGCTTCCAGAGGAGGGGGCGAGCAGGTCCCGATCCCTTGCGGTCCGTACAGATTAGCTGTATGTGAAAAAGCAGGTGCATCGGCACAAAGTCAGTCCGATATGGGGCGTTGGCTTCACGTTGTTAATTACCACGCGAGGCATCTGACATAGCCTAATTTTTCACCAAAGGTACAGTGCAACACGGCCTGCAGTTGGTTAGGCACCAGCAAGCAGTCGCGGGTCGTCAGCGGGACATCCGGCAACTCACTGGCATGGGTTAGCTTGCACGCACAACCGGATGCAGCGTATCCCATCCAACCCATAACCTGGCCGCACATCACATGGCTTCGCGCTATTACCTTATCCGCTTGCCCTTCTCATTCGCGTTTGCTTGGATTTGTGTCAATGTCTTGCCGTGTGATGGCCTCGGATGGCAGCGCTGGCTCGTCCACGGCTAACGTGGCGACGCAGTCATCCGGGACAACCAACAAAGCTGCAGAAGCCCAGCAGCAGCAAAATCGTCAGGCCACTGAAGTGACAAATGCAGCGAGTAAGATCACGGCTACAGCGGATGCTACGGTCGGCTCCGCCGCTGGCGGGCAGGACAACGTCATGGCTTTTGACGGCGAGCCATACACCGATACCTCGGCACCCGATTACCACACACGCTACCTTTCACCGCAGCTGCAGCAGCGGCGCTACAATGCCTCAATCTATTACCAGCGTTTCCGTCGCACTGATAGGTTTAAGCTTGTGCAGGTGCGCGCAAGCTGTTTGAAGGGGCGCAGTTGTTTGAATGCAGGGAGCGAGGTGTTTGCTCAGGAGCAGCAATGTCGTAGGTGGGGCGGCTGCAAGGCAAAGGGTGCGGCGAGCAAGAAGCAGGGTATCCTGATGAGCTAACCATGATGTTTTGAGCCATTACGGAGAAACGGGGAAGGTGGTGTGCCATGCGGCAACGTGAAAGACTTTTTTTGGGGCTGACCTAAGCGGGAATCCGCAAGGAGGCCAGCAGCGCAAGCTGCAACTATCGCGCATCGTGCAGGTGTTACACCGGTCACTTAGTCCACGTGCCATCTTTTGCAGGCCGAGTCACCGGACGTGTTCGAAATTCTTCCGCCGGCTTATCACATACAGTACAAGAACCCGTGCTGGTAAGCGGCTTTGCCGCGGGGATAAGATAACCGGGAAAGGAGGGACTGGAGACTTTGGAGAAGGGCTTCCGGCAGCTGCCGACGTCCCGTGGTGCCTTCCTGGGGAGTGAGCACCTGATTTAGACGTGGCCAGAGGAGGAGGTGCTGGATAGGAGTGCATGAGCAAAGCAACTTTCTTGCTAGGGGCGTTAGGCGGGATCACTGGCGAAGCTGCCCGCGGCTATAAACTGGTTCCGCGGGCAAACAGGTTTTCCTTAGCTCTGGGTAGATTGTTGTGATACGGCCGAATCCGAAATACGGGGATCAAGCCTGCAGCCCTTGCATCCTGTACAGCTAATGCGGGGAATGGGGTGGAGTGAAAGGGTGGGCAGGACTTTATATCCGGTCTTGTGCGGCACGTTCCGTTATCTGCCTTGGGGAACATACGCAGGTTCAACAAGGAAGGCCGCTTCCGTTGCCTGCCCTACTTCCACATCCTGGGCGTCTCGAAATGCGGCACTACCGACCTCTACCACCGCCTTTCCAAGCACCCGCAGCTGTACAAGGCACGGAACAAGGTGAGGTGCCTTGAAGTGTGGTACAACAACCCCGTCACGGGCGCACGTTTTTGTGTGGTCCATGTTCGTTCCGCTTTCCTTGCCGGTGTTGATCCGCTAAGCCGGTAACCCACCCTCTTTGCTCCGACTCGCCCTTCGCAGGGCCCACACTGGTGGGACGAGTGCCCCTACCCGGCCAAGGGTGCCTGCACCGCCCCGCCGAACGGTGACTTTGACGGCTACGTGGAGCTCTTCGCGGACGCAGCCGAGAAGATCAGAGCGAACCCTAGCGTAAGGGGTCCTGACGCTGCTTGTGCGCAAGGTTCTGGGGATAGGCTTTTGATGTACACATAATGCTGCTTTACGCCCTGTCGATCCAGTGTGCGCTTTCTGGGATAGTCCTTGTTACTAATTGGGTTTGGTCCTCTTCCCCGGCCGCGTCCAGTTGCCATTCCCTAATCGCACTGTGACCTGGCTGGTTCCTGTAGGGCATCACAGGGGAGGCCTCCTCCAACACCTTCACCTCCTCGGCGGGCGTCTTCTTGCGGTAGGTGCGACGTGGAAAGAGCGCGCCTGAGCTTGGATCCTCTTCCGACATTTGCGCGCTTGTGTAAACGCGGATCTGAGAATCGGGCTTCTGTTGCGCGAAGCGCGAACCAGTATCGAGCGGGCTCGAACCTGCGGTTATCCAGGCCACGGGACGAGGACTCTGCAATAGTGCTACTCCCGTTGGTTAGCAGGGCGGCCCGAACAGGACTTGCTTTGTCCCCGCCATGTTCCTGTAGGTGCTGTGACTAAAACTGCGGCCAGTAGACGAACGCGCGTCTTAGTCGGCCGCCATCGTCACTCCCCTACATCAACCACCAGTATACATTGTGTGCCGCCCGCGCCATTCCTTCGCGAGGTTCTGTTTGTTCCAACGCACACCCTTGGGACGCTGCGCTACTTTCCCCTTTACCCCCAACAGGGGTCCGTCCATGGAACGCAACACCACGGTGACCATTGCGGAGCTGATGCATGAAGCGATGCCTTTCTTGAACAGCATCATCATCTTCCGCAACCCCGTCGACCGATACTACTCGGCGTACTA